GGGGGGGGGGGGGGTTGGTGGACGGAACGCACATTGTCTTCTGTATAGTCGAAGCAAACAAAATTCTATTTTTTATTGTTACATTCATGTGTAACTTTATTAACTCAACGAAATATTTTAAATACTTTAATAACGGTGTTCGGTATTTAATGATTTTGCTATTTTATTTTTAACTCCTAATGTAGTTGTTTTTATTTGACTTATTATTATTTTTACGTTCCTTTTGTTATTTTTGTGGTATATTTACAGTGAAATATGTGAGAGGTGTCTTTCTTCATACAAGTTCATCCATTGAAGGTAGTTAAAGTTTATTCAATAAATGTTTTCATAAACTCACATGACGCCAGAAGTTCAATTTCCAACCGCAATAAACACATTATGCCCACGTGGAGGCTAAACGCCCAGGTCAGAGACTCTTAGGGTTTAGTCCATAATTTTGAAGTACTGAGAAGAGGAAGATAGCCAGCACTATCCGTCGCTACAATGGTTTTGTCCTGTCCAGTCCATAGTGGTTGAGAATTAGGACTTAATATCGGGTGCTCGCCTTGCTCGTGGTATAACGGATGTTACAGTTCGAAAATAAATAGCAGCACGTGCCATAAATTATAAGTTATATATATGTATATATGAATGTATTTCCAAAATAAAAGAGAGAGAGAGAGATAGTTAATGTCACTAACGAGTGAAAAGTGTCCCGAATAACGGCGTTGACGCCATTTTTATAAACCAACCACAACTAAAAGAATAAAACTTTGGGTGGTAGTCACGTCTCGAACTCTAGGCCCTACGACTCTCGGGTAAACAGTAGAATATATCTAGCCTTCTTAGATACAATATACAATAGCTATCATGTATTATTACTTTTTGTTTCTATACAATCGAATTGTATCTTTAGAGTATTTGCCATTTATGGGAAAATCAATCCACGCGAAAATAAACCAATGACTGTGAGCAAATATTTACGGAAAGAAAGAAAAATATACGTGTATAATTCTTATTTTAGTGAGCTGAATACAGAACGGGCCTTTTGAAGGAGATTTGTTTATAGGGTTTATGGTTTCTATGAATATACGTACATCTAAGCTAAACCAATAAATTAGGTAAATTCACATGTCTTAGGGTTAAGTCAATAAGTCACACCAATAAATTAGATAAATTAACATGTCTTAGGGTTAAGTCAATAAGTCACACCAATAAATTAGATAAATTAACATGTCTTAGGGTTAAGT